ATTACCATTGAAATCTACCTGATGACTTTATACACATACACAGGCTCCAAGGTTCCAAGTGCAATTGATTATGACTAATAATAATCAGATACACACAGATTGGAGATGCATGTGCCAACGTTTCAGTGTTAGTAGCAAAAACAATGAGTCTTTCTGCAAGGTACAATGTATTCTAAAATGTACTCGAGATTTTTTTTTTAAAAGGTTAAAAACTCATTTTATTTTATCTCCTACAGGGCTTATACTGAGTTCAATATTGTATATCTGTATTAATTCAACCGTGAACCTAGAAATTTGCATCCACTTGTGAAAGAGATAATCTCTTGCTCTGGAGTGTGTCACTGAACATGTTAAAGCTATAGTGAAATGCTTCTTCTAATCATGTAGTTATTTAAAATTTTTTTAATTATTAAAAAATAATAGTAATAATTCTTCAAACCATAAATATTTGCTCCTTAATAATTAGTAGATGTAAAATACACTACCATTGAAATCTACCTGATGACTTTATGTCCATGCTCAGATGCCAAGGAGCTCAGAAAGTAACCGACTATGACTGGTGATGATCAGATATATAGAGATTAGAAACGCATGTGCAAACATCTCAATGTCAATTGCATTAAAAATGAATTTTTCTGTATGAAACTGTGTATTTTAATAATGAAATGGAGATCTTTTAAAAAGTTAAAGCATCATTTAATTTATGTCTTATAGGGTTTATACTGAGTACAATATTGTATAACTGTAATAATTCACTGTAAACCTAAAAATTTACAGCCAAATTTGAAAGAGATGCATCCTACCTCAGGAAAACGTTATTGAATATGTCAATTGTGTTGTAATGATATGCTTCTTCTAAGTATGTTGTTATTAAATAAATCATTTTTAAAAATTAAAAAAAAACCAAAAAAACTCTGAACACAGAACTTGGCAAGTAAGAAAGAACATAACTAGAGAGCCAAGATTGTGTCGACATGGCTGTGGTAGCTGGAGAATTGATGGTGGTAGCTCTCTACAAGGGACTTAAGACTCCTGTAGGCCTCCTCATTTTATTAAGAATATTGGTGTTTCTATGTTATCAAAATTCTGAACTCAGAATTTGGTGGATTACCACAATATCTTAAAAGTGAAAATGGACCTATTTGTTGTAGTAAAGTTTTTGCAAAATCTTGTCAAACATGGGATATTTAACATGTAACTGACATTCCACATAACCCACATGGAGAAGCAATGGTGGAGTTCATGCATCATAGGCTAAAACTTCAGCTTGAAAAATGAAAGGAGAACAGCGTTTTCCTCTTGTCTCTGGGCTATTTGAGCCCTACTTTAAATTTTTTCACATGTAATGATGAGGGAGTGACACCTATGGAGAATCATTATGACCAGCACAGTCCTGGTGTACTGGATCAATTCTACTGATGTACTGGCAACCACATGCAGAAGACATACGGAAAGGCTCTGGTCCCTTAGTAACAGGAAGGGAGGATTTGCTTGTGTTTTTGTAAGAAACTCCAGCTGCATCTTTCCAGCTTCCTGGCAGATGTGTGAAACAGTGACATGGACCAGCTGATGTGACCATGGAAACCAATGAACTGTGGAGGGCCCAGGTTGCTCACCTGAGGATACTGTGGAGGAGACATGAATATAGGCCACTATATAGAGCTCTCAAAGGAAGTTGGCAGCTGAACTACAAAGCAAATTATACTCCCACTAGTGACAGTGGAACTCAAATGAATATACTTGTGTTATTTATTTGAGATCTCCAATTTGTTGATGCTCACACTTAGAGTGAAGAGTGCTTCCCATGTAGCTCACAGATTTTGGTATGCTCATTTCCATTCAATTTTAAGATTTAAAATTGTTTCCAGTCTTCATTTCTTCAGGGAATCACACATCACTTCTAGATTACAACCACAGCTTATAAACACTATATAAATCATTGTTAACAGTATTGCTCATGGAATAATGAGAAGAAATAAGTCTGCACATGTTAAGGACAGAAGTCATTTTTGGAAATAGTATTGATTTATAAGTGGTTGAATTCATATGTATAGAGGCGGGGGAAAATGGACAGTTGACTATATATATGAAGTATCTTCATAAACAAACCATATATTTGTATATGCTTCTAAGATAGATCCCCAAAATACATTAAGCCCAAGAAAGTTAAACATGTATTTAATAATTAGACTGCACAGATGAATGAGACCATGATTTGTCACTTCATAATCCTAAATTTTAAAAGTCTCCTTCACTAAGAATGATTCTTGTCTGTTTCTCAAGGGTGAATCTTGGCGTCGTTAATTCCTTAACATGGTAAGCATAAGGTGGAACATAACTCTTCAAGACAGCATCTTTATTTGCAGAGAGTATTGTTCTACATCCAGTGGACCCAACACACTTCACCAGAAAACTCTTAGAACTGATAAACATGTTCGGCAAAGTGGCAGGATGAAAAATTTAACACACAAAAATCTGCAGCCTTCCTACATACCTAAAAACAAACATACTGACATACTGAGAGAGAAATCAGGGTAACTATCCCATTCACAAGAGCATTACAAATGCGTTTGACTAAGCCTAATCAAGGAAGTAAGAGACTCCACAATGAAAAACCTTAAAACACTGAAGAAGAAAATAGAGAAAGACACCAGGAGATGGATAGACCTCTCTCATGCTCACGGACTGAAAGAACTAATATTGTGAAAATGGCCACCTTAACAAAAGCCACCTACAGATTCAGTGCGACCCAAACACAATTCCAGTGCCATTCTTCACAAAAATAGAAAATAGTCTTAAAATAATTCATTTGGAAGTACAAAAGACCACAGAGAGCCAGTACAATTCTGAGGGGGTAGGTGGGAAGAGCTAGGAAAAAGTTTGCAGGTGATTTCAAGTTATACTACAAAGTCACAGAAACAAAATCAGCATGGTATTGGCACAAAAGTAGACAAGTGAATCAAGACTACAGGATAGGACAGCACAGGACAGGACAGGACAGGACAGAACAGAACAGAACAGGAGATGCCACCACAAAAATAGGCACCTTATTTTTTACAAAGATGCAAAAAATACTGGAGAAAAGCAAGCCTGTTTAACAGATGGTGGTGGGAAAACTGCATAGCGACATGTAGCAGAAGGAAACTAGATCCGTATCTCTCACCCTACCCAAAAATAAACACCAAATGGATCAAGGACCTCAACGTAAGGCTGATAACCTGAAACTGCTAGAGGAAGAAATAAGGATGACAATGCGTGCTGTCAAATGTGGCAGCTGTGGTTCTATATGGCTATTGACATTTAAGTTAATTGAATAACAAAGAAGGCCAGCTGTTCACTCACTCGCCTCACAGCAAGTTCTCCACAGCCTTGTTTAACCAGTGACTACCATTCTGGGCAGCACAGAGTCAGAGGAATTTAATTATTACATTACC